CGGCTCCACACCTTCATCCGTAACCTCCTAAAAGGCCTCTGAACCATGAAATTATTGGAAGACTGTCAGCCTCCCTACGTCGCTCTATGAGGCCAGGATCGTGCCTGCTTTGCTTCCCACTAAGGACAAGGTTGGTCCAGGTGGCCCCCAAATATTAGCCACATGGAATTATGTTCTTTCCAGATAAACCCTGATTTTGGAAACTCAGGTTCTTTCCACAAAAATAAGCCATTCCTCACATCACTAAAAAAGCTTTAACTTTCATACCTCTGGAAGATTTTTTTTTCCCTTCAGTAAACGAACAAACCTGAGAAAGCCCTCAGCTACATCCTGTGTCCTCATTTTTCAGCTCAGAAAAATATGGTCACTGCACTTGAAGCAGCTGCTCCCAACGCCTGCCGCGCCTCCTCCCAGCCTGCCCCTGGCTGCCCCTTCCTCAGGACTCAGGACCTCCTTTCGGGCTGCTCTCTGGGTGAACCCCTGCTTGGGAATAAACACCCACCCTGAGGGGCGGAGGAGGGAGAGGCAGGCAGATGTGCTTCAGCCCCCACAACAAGGTCGGTGAGAGCCACAGTGAGCCCTGCTAAGCACCAGGGCCTGACCCAGCCGGGCTACACTCAGCACCACCGACCACCGGCATCGGGAGCGTGGGTGTGGACCCCAGGAGGGCCACGGGCCAGGAGGCTTTGCGAAACTGCGTGGCCCAAACCCGCGCCTGCGTCCCCACCTCCATCCCCTTGCTTATCTTTTAAAATTTGTATTTATGTACGTATTTACTTATTTTTTATTTTTATTTTTTTGAGATGAAGTCTTGCTCTGTCACCCAGGCTGGAGTGCAGTGGCACGATATTGGCTCACTGCAACCTCCACCTCCCAGGTTCAAGCGATTCTCCTGCCTCAGCCTCCTGAGTAGCTGGGATTACAGGCATGTGCCACCACCACGCTCAGCTAATGTTTGTGTTTTTAGTAGAGACAGGGTTTCACCATATTGGTCAGACTGGTCTCAAGCTCCTGACCTCAGGTGATCCACTCACCTCAGCCTCCCAGGGTGCTGGGATTACAGGTGTGAGCCACCGCGCCTGGTCTACTTGCTTGTCTATTTCAACATTTATTTAGCAAGCAACTACTATGTGCCCAGCCCAGTTTTGGGAAAGCCTAGTGAAGACCCCAGGTCCTGCCCTCCTGACCCGGTACTTACTTCTGGGGAGGAGACCTCAGACCCTGCATCGTCCCCAGGCCCACCCAGCGCGTTCTCTGGGCTCAGGGCCTGTGGGTAGGGGCTGGCTCTAAGGGATGCTCCAGAGGACCCCATGGGGGGGATTCAGAGAGGGGTGGTGCACTCGCCCATTCCAGAAGGTCCTGGGGAAAGAACTTTCTCCACAGGGTCACAGGAGCAGGTTCCGGGCAGTTGTCACCCATCAGCACCACTGTCGTTGCTGTGGTTGGGGCCAGCTCAGACCTGCAGGAAGGATGGGCGGTCCACAAACGTAGGTGAGTCAAAGGAGGACTTAGGGTCACCGTTGGCTGGGCCTCATGGACAACAAGGGGGAGCCCCGGGGTGAAGGAGTCTCAGTTCATGCGCCCCTCCCAACCTGCCTGGGACGCCCAGGCACATGCACACCTGCCCACAAACACACCCTCCCTCACACACACACAACTCATGCATGCTAACTCCTGTGCACACCAATTCACACATACACAACTCACACACCAACTCACACGTACACAACTCACACGCATACCAACTCAGACACAGCAACTCACACATACACAACTCACACACCAACTCACACGCACACAACTCACACGCATACCAACTCAGACACAGCAACTCACACATACACAACTCATACACAATTCACACACCAACTCATACATGCCAATTCACACCGACTCACACACACACCAACTCACACATATACAACTCACACACTAACTCACATACACACCAAGCACACAAACACAACCCACATACACACCAACTCACATGCCAGCTCACACACTGACACACAGCAACTCACATGCACATCAACTCACACACAACTCACATACACACCAACTCACACACATACCAACTCACACATACACAAGCGACTCATACAACACACATCAACTCACACAACTCACGCTAACACACAGCAACTCACACACTAATTCACACACACAGCAACTCACACTCCAACTCACACACACAACTCACATGCACACAAACACACATACAACTCACATGCCAACTCACACACAACTCACAAGCACACCAACTCACACACACATATATACGACTCACACCACACTATCACACACACCCTGACACACCCACTCTCACATACATCCTCACGCACACCAACTCCCTCCCATGCACACACACAACTCACACACAGACCCAAGCACACATCCTCACCCCCATCTAACACAACCTCACACATACACAACTCACACACAGACCCATGCACACAACCTCACCCCCATCTTACACAACCTCACACATACACAACTTACATATACCAACTCACATGCACACACCCTCACTCCCAACACAACCTCACACATACACAACTCACACACACCAAGTCACACACACCCTCACACCAATTCACATGCACACACCCTCCCTCATTACACAACTCACACACAGACCAACTCACATGCACACACCCTCACCCCCATAACACCTCACACATACACAACTCACACACACCAACGCACATGTACACATCCTCACACACATCTACATACATCCCTGCTTACGCTCACCCTCTCTCCCACACACACACTCTCATATGCACACATGAACTTACATACACGCCCTCACTCACACACACACCCCTGCTCACAGACACACACACACCCTACCCCCACCAGGCTCAAGGACCCCTCAGGAGGTTGGCCTCAGGGGTCCAAGTGTCCTCGGGGCATTGGCCTGGGGGCAGCAGGGAGGGTGATTTCCCAAATAGCAGCCCCCAGAGCCCAGGTTCTGCCCCAGAGAAGTTCAAGTCCAGACAGCAGAAGGATCTTCCTTGAAGCTGAAGACATGTACATGAGAAGAACCACTTCCCCGAGTGACTCAGCATGCACAGATCTCACACACACTCACACACACACACTCTCACACACACACACACACAGTCACACACACACACACACA